TGAGGCCTTAGCTTATTTAAGATTACGTCACTTGGGTCAATACTCTATGGAACCAAGTGACTATTTCGACGCCCCCACGTACAAAATCCTGAGCTTCATTCGAAGCGCAGGATTGCTGAGGGGATAATCAAAAGGGGAGGCACAATAGATCACTGTAGGTCGCGGTGCAAGGGCCGAGAAGGCCCACCCCTTACACATTCATTCGTTCATTCACTTCCTTTCAAACTCGTTATTTATTGAACATAACATTGCCATATAATGCGACATATTGAAAGAATAAATAAGTACAATAAGACACACGCAAATGAATGAGGCCTTCCTGCATCCGCTGTCCAAATGTTTCTTACTGCGTTGCCATAGAAACGAAGCAGTAATCGATAATCGATTATTTGTATGGTGTCGTTAACTTGATCAGTTCCTCTGGCAGTGTTGCCCCGAGACTTAAATATTTGAAACGCAGCTGAGGGTTCGTTTTGAAGCACGGTTCGCAATATACCACTCGGCTGCGTCCGTCCGTCTGTCCGTACGCATGCTCCTACAGATCGGACCCTTGACATTTTATACGAGAGTCGCTAGGATACATCAAAGTGTAAAGATCGACCAAGATTGCCACGTCACTCAAGAGTCTAAATAAGCCAGTTTTTTCGTTAATTACGCGTTACATATAAACTCTCGGATGGAACACTCATTTAAATTATATGTAAGAAGGCCGCGCCATAGCTCAAGCGGTTAGTCGCTGGCTTCCCACCGCGGAGGCCCGGGTTCGATCCCGGGTCTACTCAAGTGAGGTTTGTGGTGGACAAAGTGGCGCTGGGGCGGGTTTTCTCCGAGTGCTTCGGTTACCAAATTCTCCATCATCATAATCACATGGGGCAAGCTACAATAGGCCGATCAGTGGCCGCCGTACCGAGTGGACCCGGTTGGACTCCACCCCCCACTAAGCGAATTATATGTAAGAAGGATATTTCAGTCGGTGTATCGATGGGCTACTGGTTGGATGACCGGGATTCGAGTCCCGGTAGGGCTCAAGATCTTTCTCCTCTCCACAGCGTTCATACCAGTCCCGGGGCCCACGCAGCCTCCTAGCCGGTGGGTACCGACAGCTCTTTCCCCGGGGGTAAAGCGTCGGGGCCGTGAAGCTGACCACATACCTCCATCTAGTGCTGAGGTCGAGAACTGTGGAGTTACACTCTCACTCCTCCATACGTCTTCATGCCATACTGCTAAATTAATAAAGCACAGACAAAAATTGAACTTACCTTTTACACGAGGGAAGTCCCGCAATACTCATTTGTAGGTTGGTTATTTAACGACGCTTTTAGTATCCGATCTTTATGAGGTTGATGATAGGATGATTAATGATTGTGGAGCAGTTGGTGGAACGAAAATTGTCCGGGGAAACCGAAGTATTCGTAGAATACTTGCTCTAGAACAGCTCTGTCCACTACAAATCCCACTTTATCTGGGATCGAACCCGGGCCGTCGCTGTGGGAAATAAGAGGCTAACCGCCTGAGCTCTGACACTGCTAAAAAGTTGTTTTGTAGTTTACCTCAGAAGTGATGTTATCAACATAAAAACGATGGTGAATATAAACAGTATGAATCATCCTTTTTTTTAATTCGCTTATTGGGGGTGGAGGCCAACTGGATCCACTCGGCACGGCGGCTACTGATTGGCCTATTGCACCCGCCCCGGGTGATTATGATGCTGGAGAATTTTGTGTAATGAAGATTGGAAGGGGAAACCGAAGTACTCGGAGAAAACCCGCCCCAGAGCCACTTTTTCCACCACAAATCCCACTTGACCAGACCCGGGATCGAACCCGGGCCACCGCGGTGGGAAGCATCGACTAACCGCTTGAGCTATAGCGCGGCCCCTCGTGAATCATCCTTTACTCGCACTAAATTTGTTTTTATTGTCTTATTAATAACTATAACACTGTGGCAGATATACAAGTGTCCCGGGAGAAAGGTCAATATTCTGTGAGTTCACAGTATCGGTCATTCTAAACAAAAAGACTGTATATGTACATGTGTCCTGTTCCAGACGGTTTCCGAGATAGAGCTGTTTCACTGCACAGGACACTGTACACTGTACAGACGAGCAGCACGCCATGTCCTCACACGAGTTGCACCGAGATAGAGCTATTTCACTGCACAGGACACTGTACACTGTACAGACGAGCAACACGCCATGTCCTCACACGAGTTGCACCGAGATAGAGCTATTTCACTGTACTGTACTCTGTACAAACGAGCAGCACGCCATGTCCTCACACGAGTTGCAAAGTGCATTGATGTTGACGGTGGAATTTTCGAAAATGTATTATACTATGTCCGGTCTAGAAAACCGAGATAAACTACCGTGGGGATCCGTTGCACTGACCACGTGGCACCACCTATCCTCAAAAGTTGGCACTAACTTCGCCGACAAGCGACGGTCGCTCGGTCGATATAGTTCGCTTGCTGACTACAGGCCACGGAGTTTGTTATTATACTAAGTATACTGTACCAACTTTGTCACTTGAACAATAAATCTCGGTATTGGATACAGTACGTAATATATCTTTCTTATCATCAGTTAAGAACAGTAGAGTGAAATAGCTGTACCTCGGAAACCGTTCGGAATATGACACATGTACATATACACTTTTTGTTTAGAATGACCGATACTGTGGCCTCTTGGGGCATCTGTATAGCGTGGCTGCCTCACTGGTAGATAGCACGTGAAGAGAACAACGACCTGCGATCCGACTTTGAGGCGGATGGGCTTAAACACCGACCGTTGTTCAGTTTGTGACAATAATAATATGAGCCTTTTGGGAATGGTGGAAAGTTTAGAAGGGGATGGATGCTGGCAGTTGGTGGTCATGGAATGTCCCATGTATTATGGTAAAGGAAGAGATTAATCAGCGCGTCCGGGATAACCAAAAATAAGCATTGATAAAATCACATCTAAAATTATGACCATAAAGTAAGGATGTAGGAACAAATTAAGGCACAGTTTTATTCTGATAGAATAAAAGTACATGTGGATCGTACTATAGAGAACTGCCGTTGAAAGGCAGCCGTTATGAGAGCCATAGATCTTTTCTCTTTTGTCCTTCCTTCTGTCTGCTCAGGGTCCTGTCTTGCGACCCCTCGCTATATCCGTACCATTTGTTTCCACGCTCGGTTTTCTCACATACCCTTAAGATGGAGGCAGCAGTTTCCTCCGAAACGACGGTAATCATCACTTCAAAGTCTGCATCAATCTTCTATCCTCGCCCTATCTGGAATTGAAACCCGATTCGTTCAATTCCCTTTCTTTACTGAGTGGGATGTGTGCTATAGGCAAGTGAAAGGTTAACGTGTGTTAATTTAACGTGTTTTTCAGGAAGACATTAATGTCACTAAGGAAAGAAACCATGTACATAAGATTCTCATCAATCACATGACGTTAAATGCGTATTTTTCCTGCCTTTATTTGAAATAGACTGGCCCACTGTGGAGAAAATAAACTGCTTAGCTCTCGTCGGCCCGGAATGATGGCTGGAGTTCTTCCAGAAGTGAAACGTCTCGAGAACTTAGTAACAACATTGATCCTCGAGGACCCATGCATCATGGCCGTCCAGTCTCTTTATCAAACTCAAAAGAACGAGGAGAAATCGTATTGCAGTGTATTGTATATATATAAAGTGTCCATGAATGGTGACAGCCGAGACAGATAGGGTCATCATGAGGCTACAGATCGGAACAGCATGTCGCCTCATTCTAATGACGAGTTTAGGTATGGGTGGAGTTACACCTCCAGCCCCTTATACGTCTTCATGGTTTGCTGCTTCATTAAGCACCGTTTTCTTTCTGGTCAAGGGTGTGTTCCTGTGACCGGTAATATATTTCATAAGTAAATAAAACTAGTATTAACGTGTCAGTACTGTTTTATTTAATTGTTGGATTAATTTGGATCGGTATTGGTGAACATCATGAATTAAATATTAGATTTTAAGTTCTGGGTGTGTATTTGACCGTTTCTGTGGTCTGTTGATTAGAGTTCCGGGCTACAGATTCAGAGGTCCGGGTTTTATCCCCGGCGCTACCAGATTTTGTGAGAAGTAGTGCGTCTGGAACGGGGTCCACTCAGCCTCGTGAGGATAATTGACGAGTTATTTCAAGGAAATAGCGGCTCCGGTCTAGAAAACCGAGATTAACGGCAGTGGGGATGCGTTGCGCTGATCACGCGACACCCTCTATCCGCAAAAGTTGGCACTAACTTCGCCGACAAGCGACGGTCGCTCGGTCGGTATAGTTCGCTTGCGGACTGAAACCACGGGGTTTGGTTGTTTGTGTGTGTATTTTGACTTTTCTATAACGTGATAAGTTTAAAAGTTGAGACTTAAAATGTTCAGAATAATAGAATAAAATTGATAAAATAGAATTGAATATAATATAGTTGGGATGATGTCCGTAATATGTTTCGTCGTGTTCTCCCCGATGTTTGTATCTGGAAATGGAAGTGAACTTGTATATTTCTGGTCTTTGAAAATTTACGAGCTCTCATATAAGCATCACCCCCCACAAATGCATCAACGCCAAATTGTCTCTGAAACTGATTCGTCTGTTCTGTGTGGGGAACATAGACACCAGCCAATTTGATGTATATGGATTGAGTCAGTCTGTGAAACAACGCTTGCTCAGTGTATAAGTCAGATTTATGTAACATTTGATTGGCTGATATCGTTGAATAACAGGGGAAGTTGTTCCTAATCAGAAATAATTCAAAATACCTTTCAAGAGATGGACTCGTGTGGCCACTTCGATCATAAAAGCAACAGAATGATAGAAATATAAATTTCGCAATTTCCATGGTTTATGCTTCATAGAGAAATTTGGGGGAAAATAATTTTTGCAAGAATGAGCTATATTGGACTCGCTTTCATGGAAGTGTTTCGTGAAAAATTAATTGTACACATCTTTGTTCAGTGTTATTCTAACCGGAATCTGTTGTTCTCTTGTTTCAGATTTTTTCGGAGGTGAATGTCGTTCTTTTTCGTTAAATGAAGTGGAGGTTGACGTCAGTTGGAGTTGAATCCCACAATCCATTTAACAAATTTTAAAAGGAACTGGGTTCTGGAAGAAGAATCATACAACCCACATAGCATCTTTTCGACACTGGTGAGACTCGGCTGATTTTACAAATAACGCATGTAAATGTCATCAAAGAATTTAGATTGGTTACAAGCTTAACTGTTTTACATTTTCGAGAGAAGCTATCAGGGGTTGATATGAGGGAGAGTCAGTAAATAGGTCACGAATGGGTGACCAGGAAGAAACGTTTATTTGTCGACATATCCTCAACCAACACTGATACGCTTGTCCCATCGCTTTATCAGCTCGTCGAAACCCGCAACATAGAAGTCGTTTGACTGTTGTTTCAGCCACTTCCACGTCTCCGTTTCAACCCCTTCATCATCAGCGAAACCCGGTTGTGAACCGCTTTGCAGGAAAACACTTCCCACCGTAAATAAGAAACACTTTTTTATGAATATCCTTTGAATTGAGTCCTTTCGCACACAAAAAGAACTCACAGTAGAACGTTGCTCTTCGGTATTACACTCCTTAAGCACGGTCGCTATTTTGACTACAAAAACCAGCCTCTAACATGCGCATGGGGTCTGCTACCTAGACTGTCATGGAGCTGGACTGTGCTGCTGCCTAGTGTTACACACAGAAAGCTTATTACGTCCATTACAGCTGTTTTACTTCCATTTGTGTCCTATTTACTGACTCTCCCTCGTGAAACTTACTCACAGTTTTTTTTATACACGATGACACTCAGCAGCTTCTAAAATTGCGTAACGTAAATAGTGGTTTGAATTGCGTAGTGTGTGAATGTTTGTGTCCATCTGTCCGGCATAGACTGTCGAGTCTTCAGCAGCATCTACAAGTAACAAACAGAGATATCATGACACAGGGGATATGAATTACATAAGTAGAGTATAATTCTCTTAGTGCGGGGTGAAGTCCAACTGAGTCCCCTCGGCACGGCGACCACTGATTGGCTTATTGTACCAGCCCCAGATGATAGGTGAAGGTGATTGTGGAGCAATTGGTGGAATGAAGATTGGCAGGGGAAACTGAATTACTCGGAGGAAACCTTCCCCAGCGCCACTTTGTCCACCACAAATCCCACTTGACCAGAGCCGGGATCGAACCCCGACCGCCGCGGTGGGAAGCCAGCGACTAACCGCTTGATCTATGGCGCGGCCAAGTATAACTAATCTCACATTTTCTGCAGGCGCTAAAGCTATAGAGAGCTCCACAATGAGGAGCTTCATAACGTGTACTTTTCGTCAAATATAATAAGAATCATGAGAATGAGGTGGGAAGGGCATGTAGTACGCATGTGAAGAGGGGTGCATACGGTGTTCTGATAGGAAACCGTGAAAGAGAAACACCATGAAGACCTAGACGTAGAAGGGTGGATTATATTAAAATGGATCTTAGAGAAATAGGACGGTATTTGTGAACAGTGTAATGAACCTTCGGGTTCCATAAAATTTTCGGAAATTCTATAGTGGTGAGTGACTTTTGGCTTTTCAAGAAGGACCCGGCAGTCAGTCAGTTTAGTCAGTTGTAGGTGTTAGGTTCTATACTTACGCAGTCAGCAGTTGAGTTTCGCAGTCTGCCTGCTGCCTTCAGTTCGGTAAATCACCGCTGATTTTACATTTACAAACCTTAATGCAATGTGGCAGGAGATAAATGAATTATGTAACGTGCTGGCAGTCTGCGTCGGTGATTAGTGTGTTATCAACTTTTAATTCGAAATAAGTAGGTCAATTTCTGTAGCGTGATAGGTATTTTTAAAGAATTTTTATTTTTATTATGTGTGTAGGAAGTTTTAAAATTACAGGACTACCTCGGAAATATTGTGGCGTATAGACCGGTTGCTAGCGGTGACTCTGTAAACAGCGACCGTTGCTACGGCTCTATAATAATAGACGAACTGTGTTTTCTGTGTAGTCCGTTCCGTGATGTTACAGGCAAAGGACCAGGTCAGTTAGTTCTATACGGCAATCTGTGAGTAGGAAGCAGAGGAATAACCAGTGTTGGAGCCGTTACCAGGAAGTGTCTAGTAACAGACTAGTGTTGTGCATGTTTGTTTCCGCGTTAATGTGTTTACCGAGTCGTTGCCTAGCAATAGTTCTGTACATCACAATGTGATATACATGGTGGATACTATAGAGTTAACCTTTGGGAGTAACATAGTGGCTCGTTCTATTAATCTTTATCTGCGAGGCGTTGGCCCAGCGGTTTGCACCATAATATACTCTATCTGGAAGAAGCAAAATAATCTTGTTATAGGGTCGCAGTGCCCTTATACCCAACCGGCGAGGTCGTAGGCCCGGTGCATGATACCGCGCGTTAATAAAGTCAACATTATCTCTGACTTACCGCACTGAAAACCCTGCATTCTGTACCCCGCAACGCGCAACACCTGTTGGGGGTGGGGATGTTTAATTGGATGGTGTGAGTTTTAGTAATGTAGCAGGTATTGGGCATACTGTATTGATGCTAGCGCCGACTGGCGGGCACCTGTAGAATGACGACAAGTGGTATTTGAATTGGATGATAATTCGAGGTCGCGTATAAATTGCAGGTAAACGCTTTATTAATTGTACTCGACTCCCTGGGGCTTTATAATAGCTTTGTAATTAAATCAATTATAGGTGTACCTTCAGTAAATGTACCCATGTAAATGTCACGGGCTGTATGTTGCAGTTTGGGTCCAGAAGCGGAACTCTGCAATTTACACAGGTTTGTGTGTTGCTAGAAATGTATACAAAGTTTCTGTCGGAAAACCTCAAGATAAAAATACAATTTGGAAGACTTAGGAGTAAGTAAGTATCTCCATGGAGCTGAGTCCTTCTTGACAAGCCGCAATTCGCTCAGCTGCTTGTGAATTTATCAACATTTATGGAACCTGAAGTTCTCAAAACAAGATTCTCCTGCCTTAGGATGGGTGTCTTTTAAAATAAACATTCGGGTTGCATAAAAGTAGGAGCATTTCTTACTATCCAAACGACTGAATGATGCTCTGCAACATTTTTCTCAAAATTCTCGTCTAGATAAAAAAAAAACGAGTTCATGAACACTACGTTTTGCCAAGTCATATATTTTACGTTTGCAGACAGATTTTTATGTTCTCTTTTTACATTTAACAAAAAAATGAACTCCATGGTCTTAGTCCGCAAGCGAACTATACCGACCGAGCGACCGCCGCTTGTCGGCGAAGTTAGTGCCAACTTTAGCGGATATAGGGTATCGCGTGGTCAGCGCAACGGATCCCCACGACCGTTAATCTCGGTTTTCTAGACCGGAGCCGCTATTTCCTTGAAATAGCTCCTCAATTATCCTCACGAGGCTGAGTGGCCCTCGTTCCAGACCCACTACTTCTCACAATATCTGGTAGCACCGGGAATCGAATTCGAACCTCTGAATCTGTAGCCAGGAACTCTGACCACTAGACCACAGAGGAGGTATTTATTACATTTAGTGGTGTTTTTAAGTACAGAAGTTCATTTATGTCTTCAAGTTAAGAGCCACTGTACTGTCAGTACTGTTTCGTTAGAGCTTCTCACATTAAATCTGTGTTATAAATTCCTTCTGTCTCCCTCACGTTTTCTTTAGTCCTGCCCATGTGGTCTTTGTTAAGAAACCATACACAGTATAAAAGTGCATACCGAATAACATATCTGCCTTTATTTTCATCGCTGGGCAACTGTGCGGTTTAATGCATAAAACGATCTGTCTGGTAATTATTCAGGACTATCACCATCGCTGCTACCGCAGTAAACAATAGAATAGTTGTTCTGTGTCATGTTCTTTCGTTCTTAAAATCAAAATTTTGTGAGAAGAGAGAATAATTCAATATTTGTTTGTTATAATGCACCAACAAAGATGTCTCAGTTAAGACCCCGAATTCCCTTATAGTGTTTGTGACTTTTATTGGAGATGCATGAGCTCTAGTTGGGGAACATGTGGCACGCATAAAGGAGATGAGAAATGCATAGAAATTTTAGTCTTACACCTTGGTTGTGGGAGACCACTTGAACAACCTTGACACAGATGGGAAGGTAGTAATTTAAAATCATATTGTAACGGGTAGAGCCGTTACTATGCGACGATCGCCACATAGGCAAACACACCGACCCGTTTCTAAGCAACGGATCCGTAAACACATTCCCAGAGCAAAGAATCGAGACGCAACAATAGAAGAGCTATGTGTTTTATGTGGTCCGTGCCGAGATGCTTTAAGCAAGAGACAAGGATAGAGCATAGTCAGTAATCTGATCTGAATGGAAGTCTTTGAAAAGAGGACTTGAGTACTTGAAGCCGAAGAATCTCCACTGTTAGAAGCCGTTGCCAGGGAAGGGCTGGAGAAAGGCTTAGCTGGTTCTGTGATGTACTGTGAATTGTGGTGATAGCGGTGGCTCTGTAATTACTTGTACTTACGAGTCATGTGTATAAGTGGTTAATAAATCGAGTCACTGGTTCGAAACCCGTCTGTAGTCACACTCCATACTATGCATGACAATATTTTGAGCTATGAGAGTGCGAGAATGTGGACTTGCCTCTTGCCTGGGATAGGAACCATTGATGGGCTTTTGTGAACAGGTTGACTTGCTCAACAACTATCAACTTCTTAGAAAGATCTATGCTATTTCATGTTCTTAGATTTGTCTGATATGAGAAATAGGTACTGGTAGTTTCATCACTTTGTTGATATTTATTTTATGAAAATTCTGGACGAGGAAAGAGGATTTCAGCTGGCTTTAAATCAACAGCTGACAGAAGAATGAGAAATTTAAAAGTCGAAATAGACGTTTAACTGCATTAAAAAACCGACGGGAAGGCGAACAGATGAATACCCAGAAGAAGAGACGGACGTTTTAAACCCATAAGGAGTTCGTCTTTGCGGGAGAGCTTGGAGAGTGCCTGGAGTCGGGATGGAAGATTAAAAAGCACACAAGGGGGAAATAATTCTTGTCGCTCATCGACGTGGAGTGAATGCACAGGAAGGAAGAAGCTTAGTCGTGCTGTCGATAAGGTCGTAACAGAAGCAAATTCCCATTTACAGAATGCGCCGAAGTCTCACCCAGACGACTGTACGG